CTGCCCGGGGGCCCGGTGGGGACGGGCCATGGGAGCCGCTGCGGCTCCCGCTGCCCTGCTTCTGCAGGCAGAACAGGGTGAAAATGCGGGCAAATAGGTGTTGGGTTGTCGCCGTCAGCTCTGTGCCGTCTGTGGCTGTTTTCCTGCGGGAAGGATTATGTTCTCCCGGTGCAAATCCTGCTCTGGACTCCCAAAGCACATTGGAGTCGGGCAAGGAAGGAGCGTGTGACGCGTGGGGGCAAGCTCTCATCCCAAGGAACCTTCCCGCTTCCCGAAAAGGGAAGTGGTTCCGGATCAGTGTCTGTCAGTAGGAGCAGGAGCTGCGGGATGGGGCCAGGATATGGAGAACGGCCAGACCGGCCCTTTGCCACCGGGTCTGGGCCAGCACCAGCGCCTGGATAATGCATTCCGGCTGGGAATTCCCTCAGCGTGCTCAGACCCCTCAAACACCCCCCATGTTTGTAGCCTTGAGAGGAAGAAAGAAAAACCAAAACAAACCAAAATGGAAGGAATTTTGCTTAAACTCCGTCTGAATTTGCATCCAGTGGCTCCTCCTGGCACTTGGCCCTAAAGTTGGGGCTGGATGAGCAGCTGGCGCAGGTGGGTTGGTGCTGCCAGCTGGGAACAGTCCGGAGCTGCGAGGTGGATGTGGACACCGGGAAGCGCAGGGAAGCGGGAATTAACACCCTGGAGCCCGTTGCACATGCCTGGCCCCCAGGCTGTCCCTGCTTGCGCTTGCCTTGCGCCCCTTGCACGCGATGGGGTGAAGCATCCCCTCCTGATATCTCCAAGGAGAGGGCAAATCCCACGGGAGCAGGTAGGCTGAGGGAGACATCCCTTTGCTCCTTCGCTGCGTTTCCCGGGAATGCCGGTCTCCCTCGCGGGAGTCCGCGCAGCCCTGCGTGCCGCTGGCTCCGTTTGCTTCCAGACCCCTGCGGAGGCAACGAGCTTTAATTGGTGTGCGGATCTCCTCCTCCCCGCAGCACGAGTGCAAATCGTATTATCTCGCAAAGCGCTTGGAATTCCCTCCTTCAAAACCGCGTTAAGCCGGGGTGGAAATTCCTCGTGGCCGAAACCTCGGCTCTGCGGAGCGGCCGAGCTCAGGGCTTCGTTCCGGAGCAGCGTCCGCGTTCCGCGTAACGGGACGATGCGGAGGGATTCGCCCTGGGAACAGCGGGAAACGCTGCAGCGGGGGGAGAGAAAGAGACTTGTGCCAAGGTGGGATTGGGCACCCTTGGGAATGCGGCTTGTTCGGGACGAGGGGGCCCCAGGTCCCTGTACGTGGTGCTGAGGCATTTTATAGCTAAGGAAATCGTTTTCTTGGGACTCTATCAGCTGTTATTTGGGGAAGGGGACTTGAGATGGGATAATCTCCGCTAGGAAACGGCCCCGAGGGGGAAGGTGGGCTGGTCAGGAGGGCTCCAGGAGAATTCCAGCGTGCTGGATGGAAGTTGCTCCGTGGATCTCGCGGTCTTGCTGGGTTGTCTCTTCTCCCCTCCGCTCAAATGGCCAAAAATCTCTGGCCGGTTGTTGAACAGTCTCCCATGTGCATGGAGCGCCGGAATGGGAACGAGGGTTGTCCTGGCACAAGGATGCGGTGAGGTACCGGCCTGGAGGCCCTGGGAAGGGCCCCGGGTCTCGTGGTTTGCGGGGCAGCCTCTTCCTGCCCTCCCGCGTGGCACCCGTTGGATACAGAGCCCGCACAGCCCCGGGGTGCTGGGCTCCGCGGGCTCCGGATGGCGGGATGGGGACCGCAGGAGCCGCGATGCGGGCAGGGATTCGTCCCCGGAGCACCAAGGCCACGGGCACGGGTGTGACGGCCGTTCTCCCTCTTATCCGCAGTACAGCGCCGTGGACAGCAACCCCCTGTCTCTGTACGTCATGCATCCCTTCTGGAACACCATCGTCAAGGTGAGCACCCTCGCGTCGCGGCCCCGGAGCTCCCGCTGCTCCGCAGGGATCCGGCGCGGCCGAGCAGGAACGTCTCCAATGCCCACGGTCGCGCCGCGGCTCCTGCCTCGTCCCTGTCGCCCGTGTCCTTGAGTTCCTGTGTTCTTTTGCTCGTTTCCCATAGATCTTCCCCACCTGGCTGGCCCCGAACCTGATAACGTTCTCGGGCTTCCTGCTGCTTGTCTTCAACTTCTTCCTCATGGCGTACTTCGACCCGGACTTCTACGCTTCTGGTAAGGCTGCCTGTTGGCTCGCAAAGCGTTGGAGGGATAAAACCTCTCAACTTCCCTGCTGCGTCCCCGCGTGCTCCGTGTGCAGCCTCGCTCCTCCGGGCGCTCCCGCAGACCATGTTGGAGCAGGGACCCTCTCAAGAGCTGGCAGTGGCCTTGGCGACAGGGGATGTGTCCCCTTCCTCCCAGCTGCCGGGGGGACACGTGCCCACGCAGGGGCTCCTGGGGCAGGGAGGAGGGATCGGCCAGGCTTTTCCCGCAGGAAGCAGCTCCGTGTGCACGGTGGAGAACCCGTCGCCTTCGCTTTCAAACCAGGGTGAAGCCGGCGAGCGGAGCCTTGTTCCCGTCCCAGCTCGTGTCCCCTTGCAAAAACAACCCAGCACCACGTTCAGGCTAGCACAGGCCAAACCCTCTCTGTGTTTCACCATTCTGCACATTGCAAGGATGCACATGGTTATTCTTCTTAGCTGCGTGCTGTAAAACCTTTATCTTGCTTTTTTGTTGGGCTCACAACAGCAGAGTCTGCTCAGATGTGGATATTGCAGCGAGCTCCCCGTGCTCTCTCCGTCCCCGTTCCCCAAGGGTTGAAGGTTCCGTTGTGTTATTCTGCTGTATTATTTTTTTCTCCTATCACTTAGCAATGTCTTAACTTCTAGATTTCCTCTCCGTGTCCCCCCGCCAGGTTTAGGTGAGTGCTTAGAGTTTGTTCAGTTCTTTTAGAACTTTTTAGAACGTCAAAACACAATTTGGTAGGGAAAAATACTGGTTTCCTGGGATTTACTTGGTTTGTAGATAGACACGTACAATCATGCACCGGGTTTTCAAAACCTTGAGTGCCTTCTCTTGATATTTAAGTTTTGGACCATCCTTTGGCCCATGAGCAGTAGCATGGAGCAGAGCTGAGGAAGAAAGCAGGGCTCAAGGAAGAAAGCTCAGTGCAGGGATCCCTGGAAGAGAAACAAGGCTCAGCAGAACAAACTCGTGCACTGGGGCCCTTCTGTGTCCATGTTGCACGCGTCCTGTCTGGAAAAAACAGAGCATTTGCTCAGCAGAACAAACTCGTGCACTGGGACCCTTCTGTGTTTCCTATCTGGAAAAAACAGAGCATTTCTCCTCCTCTTGCTGAGGAGGCCTCCACAGGCTTGCACCTTCCCTCCGCGACAGACAGCTCCGTACATTTGGGATGCTGCAGTGGCTGTGAGTAGTTTTGCTGGAGTAGGTTCCATTGTGCTGCTCTGAAAAATAGGAAGCATCATCGTTCCTCCTGGAAAACCTTCCCATGAGGAGCAGAGAGTCGCTCTGCTCCACGCTGACCCTACGAGGTCCAGCCTTTGCCATCCTACGTTGGGCAACGTTTGCTCTGTGCCGTCACCAGTGGCTTTGGGGAAGCAGGGGAGAGGAGAAGCAGACCCTGGAAAAGGGAGTGTGGAGAGTCCTGTTCTCCCGGGCCCGTTTTCATGTTGTCCTGTGGTCTCACGAGGTTTCACGCTGCGCCCTCGTCTCGCTCCCGTGTTTGGGTTGCACCAGCGCTTTGTGTCGCTTAGCCGGGGGTCCTGGCTGCCAAAACAAACCAGCTGAAGGTACAAACTGAGCTCTCCCCTCGCGGCCCTCTCTGATCTCTGCAGCTCCTGATCACGAGCACGTTCCAAGTGGAGTGTGGGTCGTCGTGGGGCTCCTCAACTTCGCTGCCTACACGTTGGGTAAGACTTTATCTGGTGGCGATCGGTGGGGGACGCTCGGGGATGTGTTCGTGCCGCGGCTGCGTGTGTCTTATCTCCATGCCCGTTGAGAAACCCCTGGTCCTGGGTTCCTGCCATGCCCTCATCTGGCTGCTGCTCAGGCTCCCGGAGCTTTTTCCAGGCGTTATTTTGTGAAGCAGCTCGGAGGTTGGCTCGGAGCAATGGGAGCGAAAGGCCCATGTTGGAACGGGCTTTGAGAAGATGTGTGCAATCCTGGCTCTGGACATTCCTGTTGACGGGAATAAGGCTTTCCTTCTGTTCCCCTTTTTGGTTGCAAAGAGGGGGGAAGGAAAGAAAGAAAAAAAAGATAAACGAAGCAGGAACAAAATGGACCCAAATAAACCCTGCTCCCCGTAGAGGACGGAGGCAGCAGAGCTGCTGTTGCCCCCGTGATAACGGCAGCCGCGCGTGGGGCTCTCCGGAGCCGCTCCATGCTGTTCCTCCCCTCCCTGCAGACGGCGTGGATGGGAAGCAGGCTCGCCGGACCAACTCGAGCACGCCGCTGGGAGAGCTCTTCGACCACGGCCTGGACAGCTGGGCCTGCGTGTACTTCGTGGTGACCGTCTACTCCACCTTCGGCCGCGGCTCCACGGGCGTCAGCGTCTTCGTCCTCTACCTGCTCTTGTGGGTGGTCTTGTTCTCCTTCATCCTCTCCCACTGGGAGAAATATAACACGGGGATTCTGTTCCTGCCCTGGGGATATGACATCAGCCAGGTGGTGAGTACCCCTCGGGCAGCACAGCTTGGGCAGACTGCAAGCGTGGCAGCGTGGTGCAGGGCCCAAGAGGTGCCACGTGGCTCTGCTGTGTGTCAAAAACCTTGGAAATCAGAACCCTGTTGGCCTTGAGGAGCTTTCAAGCCCCGTGCCCGCTGTGAGCTTGCTGGAGCGGCATCGGGAGCTCCTCACGGGTGAGCGCCGAGTCCTCCCGTGCAGGTTCCTCGTGTGCCTTCCTTGGAACTGCTGTAAGGAGCAAGGAGCAGGTGGCATTAGAGCTCAGCTCCTCAGAAACGAGGTGCTTGCGTGGCACAGTGTGGCTCTTTTGTGTCCTGAGGAGCTTCTGTGCTTTCCTTTGGATTTTCTGTACTAGCAGGAAAGAAACCAGCCCTGAGAAAGGGATTCTGAGTCGGATCTGCTGCGCCTGGTTTCTGCCTGCAGAGCTGTGGGTTCATGTGTCAGCTGCTTGACTTGTTGCTCTGGGCTCCCTACGCCGTGTCCGCATGGACACCGAGCCCTGAGAAACGTAGGAGCCTCCCTGCGCTCGAGGATATGTGCCAAAATGTAGCCCATAACTGATAGGCGTGGAGCAAAGGTTCCTGTGGCAGGTGCCACTGTGGCTGTACCCTGGTCATTGCACCGGGCACGTTGGGATTTCCATTAACAACGCAGAATTCCTGGGAATCGGCGTGACCGGCTGCCGTGTGGGACTGCCGAGAAGGAAACTCCTCCTGAGGAGCTCGGAAACGCAGCTCTGAAGCCGTCTTTCCTAGCCAGCATCCAGGCCAATATTTGTCTCCTGGCCTGTCAGAACCTGCATGAAAAATGCAAAAATTAGGCAGGAGAGTGAGCAGGCGCGGCCGTACTCAGTGCAGATAAAAGGAGGCCTTAGCTGGTCTCCTCCAGCTCCTGTATCCCGCCCCCTTTCTCCAAAAGCTCCTGGATCACCGAACCCCCCAGGAAGGTGGGGGCTGAGGACTAGGCCACCCCTCAGTGTTCAACACTACCTTTACTATTAAAAGCCTCCCCGTTTGCTTTTCTTTCTCCACATTTCTTCAGGAGGGGGTTTAAGAAAGGCTCCCTGCACGACCCCTCCCAGGCTGTAGTTGCCCCCTAGAAGGTCTCAGAGTTGCCCATTGCAACTTGCAGTGTAAACCCCCTCTCTTCCCTGAAGCCCCTTGTGAATTCAAGCTGTGCAAGGGCCTCCGTGCGAGGAGCAGCAGCTTCCTGCCACGTCCCGTGTCCCCAGTGCCACCCGCCTGGTTATTTACCCCTGCTTCTCTGTGTTTCCTTGCAGACCATTTCAGTCGTCTACATAGTGACGGCCGTTGTGGGAGTTGAGGCCTGGTATGCACCTTTCCTGTTTAATTTCTTATATAGAGACCTATTCACTACAATGATTATTGGTAAGAAGCTCCATGTCGAAGCCTGTCTTTTAAACACCAACTTTTACCCAAACTGAATGTCTGATTGTACCGTGCTGCTCTGTTTGCTCTCGTGAAAGCTCCTGTAGGCCGTTAGTGACGTGGTTAATTGGGATGTCCTTGCATTGCCCCTTGCTTGTCCTGTTTCATTAATTGAAGTTCAGGACCCTCCACACATACCTGGGTTTCTGTTCATCGTTGTTTCAAGATTTAACCTATGTTATTTACAACATATAAGGAGCTTAAATATAAGCTTCAAGGACCTGGGGTGGCCTCAGGAAGGACCAGAGTGAGGGGCAGTTTCACGTGGGTGGAACTTAGTGGGGGAGAACTGTATTTTGCTTCATGTGATTTGGGTTACTCAGCAGTTCAATTTATTTTTTTCCTATTTTAGACCCATTTCTTCCTATAGGCGTTAATTATCGCTGCTTAATTTCGAGTTAATACGTTTGGTTACGTTAAACCTGGTGCTTGCACTTGGTCTCCATCAGGAAGGTGTCTGAGCTTTGCTTTGGCAGCCGCGTAGTTAAAACGTGAATTCCAAAAGCACTTAACTTTCCTGCATGGAAAAACGGAGCGTGAGGCGTTTTCTGAGCAGATTTGTGCACTTGGATGGGAACTGGATTATTAAAAGGAGAAATAACGTATGCAGCTCTATTAAAAACACAGTGCTGGATAAACAAGGAAGAAACGACAGATCTCGTGGGTTGGAGTGTAGCTGCTGCTGCTTCTTAACGAGGGTGATGGTTTCAGCACCATTTACACGCTCTGCCGTTTGTCAAGTTAATTGAAAAGCAGCTTTTCTTTCTCCTTCCACAAATGGGACCTGAAAATGCTGCTCATAGTGGGAGAAATAGCAAATAGGCTTTATCATTAGGGCTGGAAACTCCTTAGCGCGGCAGCGTGGGCTGCGGCAGAGCCCGAGCTCGCCTCAGGGTGAGGATGGAGCAATTCAGCCTTGCGAGAGCGTAGAGCAGGGCTGGGCTCGCCAGTTCAGGTGCAGGAGGGTTTAATCCGGAGCGGAGCCGCGTGGTGACCATGGGAGGGGTCGATCCGGAGCGGAGGCGGCGTGGGGGGTTGATCCAGAGCGGAGGCTGGGGGAGGGGTCGCTCCGGCGCGGCAGCCCCGGGG